GAAAGAGTTGGGAGATGCCACGTGGAGGTCTGGCCAAAGCCTGGCAGGCTGCCACATCCCTCTCTCTCTCACCTTGAACTCTGTCATCTGCTGTTCCAGATTGACGATGAACTGCTGGACCCAGGGATCGTTAGCTTCATAGTCACTGAACTCCTCCTGACATTGAAATACAAAAAAGGTTGTTTATGTGGCCTGCCGCGAACAGCACCAAATGGCCCAGAGGACAGGAAGGGAGGTCACTCCTGGAGCAGCACTGCACCCCTTGTTTCCTCAGGCTCCTCTCTAGCAAAATGCCCCTTTCCAGGCTGGCAGGCAGAGCAAGTTCTGGGTATTTTGCTGTTGCTCTGTGCCAAAGAAACAGTGGACAACTGAGGGGAACGAGACAGCAGTTGCTCTGACTGTGCTGCTGTGCAGAGGACGGAGAGTGCAGAAGTATGGCTGGAAGCAGAGAGCGCTGAGCCTTACCTCCTCGATGTTGTGGGAGACAGAGAGGAATAGGTTGATCCAGGGCTTCACCTGGGGTTTGATGGCTGTGCTGTTCAGCTCATTGAGACCTTCCTGAGGGGGACAGGAAGAAGAGAGGAGAGTGACTGAGCACAGCTAATGTCCAACGGCACACAGCCTTTACAGCCAGGCTGCCTTGATGCTGCCTCCCACCCTCATTGAAAGCAGGGGAAACCGACCCACAGATGTGCCCAAGAAACTGAACCCCAAAGTCCCAGATCCCACACTCTTCCAATGCTGGAGGGCTCTGAGGACACAATGACAAGAAGAGGAAGGACGTTGGCCCAGAAGCTGCCGTTGTGCTGACTTGCAGCCTGGTCTGAAGGGCTCGTGCTTCCCTCACCCCTGCCCAGACAGCTACAGAGGTTTCCTGGCAGGAGAGAGGCGTTCAGTTCACATCTCACCAGGGTAGGAAAGGACACAAACACCAGCCTTTCCACTCAGCACCATCCAGGAGGACACTGTGATTGGACTCAACTGATGCCTCCCGCCTCCAGTGCAGTTTAGCTCAGTAGGAGAAGCTAAAAGGAGGATAAAAGCTGGAACCACAGTTAGTTCCCTGAATTAATCATAACCCCAGCACACGCCATCTCCCCTGAAAAGCAGGTTGTCAGCAAAGGCTGTTCTATCCGCTTCGATGCTAGAGAGCTCTCTGCAAGCCCTCTCCTGCCAACCACCCCCATTTGGCTCAGCAAGATGTTAAGAAAGCTCACCCAGCGTGAAACTGTTCAGGTACCAATACTGCTTGGCATTTGATGGAAGTTTTTAACTAAAACTGGCATTTCTGAGTGGGCCCTGCTGACAATTGTCCTTTTCCAAGGCAAATTCAATGTGCGTGTGACTCAGGCAGTACAGGAGCTTGCTGCTCAGCCTCTTGATTGCTTTGCAGCCAGTTTTAATACTGCACTAGAGCTATACTGGAGAGTTTTACTCCTTACTGATGAGCTCTTTCGTTTCAATACTGACCACAAGCCTCAAGAGGGTTCGCTGGCAATTACTGGTCTGAAGGCATCTGGCTGCAATGAACTGCAAAGCCAAATGAAAAATAGTCTGGCCCCTCTGTGAAGTACAAAGCTGATGGCAAACCTGGTTCAAAATATTCTCTTTTGCTTGGTTTCGGTTTCTTTCCACAGGAGGTATTAGGTCTTCCTGCTCCTCTCCCTGCCAGAGACCACTGTGAAATTTTAGGGCAACAGGCCCCAGCATGCCACACAAGACAGTGGATTTAGCCAGAGCACCTTCTACCCCATGGTGGGGAGTATTTCCATTTGGGAAAAGAGAAACCTGAGAGAAGAGCAGCTCTTCTCTACCAAGAGCCCATCTTCAGTGTTACCTAGTGAGGCTCCGGACAACTTGACAACATGCTGTGCCACGAGGGAGAACGGAGGAGATGGAAAGGCTATTAATATTTCTTCTCCTGAAAATGCTGAACCAACTACAACTCTGTGCTGAGTGAAGACAAATGGAGCAACATTCCTTCTGGCTCTGCAGCTGCTTGCAGTGCGTTTTACGCAGCCGCCAGCTGGTGCGGCTGTGCAGACAGGCTCGATCTGTTGCCATGCCTCAGATTTACTCCCTCCTGCACCCCTACCCAGCACTCCCGAGTCAGACATGCTCCAGGCCTTGGGCTGAAATGATTCCTGCCTGAGCTCTCCCTGAAGACACCGGCCAGCCAGTGTTGGAGGCCAGCAGTAACTCAGCAAGACACTCACCTGCAGCAAGTCACGAAATTTGTTGGAGACAGCAGCCATGTCAGAGAGGCAGCTGTCAATCTTGGCCTGTGCTTGCTCACCCCCGAAGCCTTGGCTAAGCAGTTTGCTGCAGTCACTCTGCAGGGAAGAGATCCACGAGCAAGTTGCAAATTAATAACCCGGACAGTTTCTATCCCTTCATGTTGCTGAGCTCTGGCTGCCCAGCAGCACGCTTGCAGGCTAGGACAGGCGCCAAACTCTTGCTCCTGTGAAGGCACAGGCTGCTGGCTCCAGCTGGGGAGAGGAGAGCAAGAAAGGAAGCCAGGGGCTATCTAGCCCAGCACCAGAGAACCACAGCCTCTCAATGATGCTCGTTTTATTCCACTGGCTCCCGGCCTGTGCCAGGCTGGTCAAGCTGGAGGAACTGGTATTTCCAGCTGTAGCAGCTGGAGATTGCTCTGCCAGCTCAAAATTGCTTTCCTAAGGCTGGAGGGCAAAGACCTCAGGAATTTGGGCATAGCAAAGTCCAGATGGTTTACTTGACCCCCCCCCAAGGGAGGATATTACAAATTTGATTAAGGAAGAAACAGTAAAGAATCCAGACCGCACCTCCAAAGTCTTCTTTAGGGTCATGATGTTTTCGCTGCAGACTTCCACGTTGTTTAAGGTCACCTGGAAAAAAACAACAAAACAAACCAAAGTAGAATTCATTGGACTTTCCCAGCACCAAGTCCATATGTTTACTCCATGCCCTGTTCACAGTACAGGCTGAAATGCAAATATTGAAGGGACAGAGTTCCTACCGTGTGATCAAAGCATTGCAGATTCACAGAGCTGCATGAAGCTGAACTACAGTAACCGAGCATGTGTGCTGAACCTGCAGCTAGTACAAAGTTTGAGATAGTTTAATCCACTCCTTTTCCTCATCATTCTGTCCACGATGTTGCAGCAAAGCCCCACGTGTGGCTGACTGGCAGAAGACGCTGTACCCCTGACTTTCTGTGACAGTGTCACGAAGAACAACAGACCAGGAGTGGCTGGAGGTGATGGTTTATACGCTGTGTACGGAGAAGCACGGGAGGCAGGAAGGCATTCGTATCTAGGCAGGAGGAATCAGCACCCCTCCTGCCAGATAAGTATCTGTTCTTCACCAAACAGACTGTTCTCTACCTGCTGAAGCTGAACTAAATGTCAGTATAAGGCTGGGGTTTGTGCAGACAGGGAAATGAGGCAAGCTGACAGGTGAATGAGGAATTCCAGTGGGAGAACTGACATTTTAAGCACTTTGCTTCAAGAAACCTGTAACCAATAATTTAATGAAATGGAAGAGTTCAGTTCCTCCTGCTCCCTTTGTTGCCTTCTCCCCTTCTACAGTGAATGTCCCAAGGAGCCTCTTCAGCACTGGGTGCTCACAGCAACTTACAGAGAGGGAGACAAGTCAGGGTGAGCCAGCCCCTCTCCAGCGCTCTCAGGGTCTCTGCCCACAGGTCTGCTCAAACAGCAGGGCTGGCTGAGAGGAGAGAGCAAATCCAGAGTTGCTCTCCCAGTGAGGTGTTTTCCACAGTGCAAGCTCTATAGAGCATCCCACCATGGGGAAGAATGCATTACGCTGCAGAAGACGATGCAGTGGCCCTTCAAATGCTCTCCAAGGGGTCTCTAATGCTCACTGCCATGTTTGGCCTGCTCAGGCATGCAGAGAGTTACAGTGCTGCTGTGAGGAGAAGGCACCAGGAGGATCTTGCAGGCCAAGCAGAGCAGACAACCCTGCTCTAATGGAAACTCTCTGATCTGATAAGCAAGAATGAAGGAGCCCTGAGCTTGGGCCAGGAAAGTTTCTCATCTAGAGGAAGGTGTCGATGAGACACTCTCCCACCACCTTTCTGCAGAGCCTGTGAAGAACAGGACTGAGGGATGCCTCAAAAGAGCACAGACTCTTCCCCAGCCTGGAGGGAATCATCATTGCAACAGCCTAAGAGGCAGTCACAGGATCATACTTGGACAGGCCTGGGTGGAAGCCCTACAAACATGAGGCGAGGTAGAAGCATCTACCAGACATCCAAAGTCAGGCCAGCCACCACGCCTGAGCAGGTTTTCCGGTTCTCTGAACGTCTGATAGTCGCACCAATCTTGTTCCCAAGAGCTCTCCATTGTCTTTCCCCTCACCCCAACTCATTCTACATCAGAACAGCCACCAAACCCACCAGAAAGGACTGCTTGGCCTCGTCGGTGCTTTCAATGCCTTTGGTATCGAACTTGCCCTGCTGCAGGCTGCTGTGCATGATGTTCACGGCACTGGTCACCCCTCTCTGGAAGTCCTGGAAGGTTGTGGCTGGAAAGCCCTGCTTCAGCTTGTTGTACAGAACCTCCCTATGGGGCAAGCAGAATATACCAGGGCTTAGAGCAAATACTGCAAGCCACAGCAGAGTTGTGCTCTGTGACAGGGGACAGCACTCTGGCTGAGCTGTGACCTGAACAAGGTAAGTGGAACTTCACAGGGACAAAAGAGGGCAGGCAAATATCTCCTGAGAGCATCTAAAGGACACAAGGCTGAAAGAAAAACACAACCACCCGATTTCTGAGCTTTCCCAAAAATCTTGCCTGCAGCTGTCTGCTGTCTTCAGTCACAGTTCCCCACTCCCATGCTGGGATGAAAAACAGGAGCAGGACAATTTCTGCAGGCTCACCCCAAGTTCAAGTTACAAAGGAATCTCACAAGCAACCCAGAGAACAATTAGGGGTGACCGTGTACCATCAAGCAGGGTAGCACTCCAATGCTACGTGGTGACTCGGTCTCATAGGGGTTTTGGGCCATGAGGTCCCTTTTTCTGTTTGCCCTACAGGTGACCATCACTACTGTGAGAAAAGTCTGCCCAGCTCCAGCTTCCCACACCACACCTGACGCTGCTTCCTATGAACATCTTCCATGGGAGTGACAAACTTGAGGTTCAAAGGCAAAGAACACAAGGAAGACCATCTGACAGCAAACACTGTTTGCAGAACGTGAGGTGGAAGTAAGTTACAATGAACCTGGTGTATTTTCATTACCTGAAGTCAGACTCCAGCTCAGTGGTGGAGTGGTTGATCATGGCACAGAGACAGTCTATGCTGGAGCTGGACAGAGCACGCCCAATGCACTTCTTCACTATATAGAACACGTCATCCACCATGCTGGAGGTGAGCTGGCCCTTCTCGTAGCTGTCCATGGCAACAGCCTGCAAAGAAAGCTGTCTCAGTGCCCTGAGCTCAGCGAGCGAAGGTGCCCTCTCAGAGCAGTGCCATGAGCCCAAACTGCCAGCCTGCCCATTTCACCCTGAGCTGAACTGTACCATGTGTGGGCTGGCACCACACTTCCTAGTTTTCAGTAGCCCATAGACCTGGAAGATCTGGCTCTGGAAGATACTCAGGGGTATGTTTGGAGTCACAGTTCAGAAACAACCACTTGCTTTTCAAAGCCAAGGGAAACAAAAGATCTTCCCAACAGCTGCAGACCTGCCGCATACTCATCTCCCTCCCCAGGGATGCTCAGCAGAGGACTGTGGAGCACACGCAGAGGTCTCGGTTGCTAGCAGAGAGCACAGGCTATTCAAGCAGCGGTCTGAGCCCTACCTTGTTGACAGTCTCCCTCATGAAGTATTCCTCCATGGTGATGTAGTAGCCAATGAGCTCTTGCATGGTGCAGCTCAACAGACTGTTGTTGAGGAGCTTGTCCAGGTATTTTTGATGCTCTACAGAACACAAAAGAGAACCATCAGCAGGGACCAAGTGTCAGAAAGCAGTTCCACCTAATCCCCTTGCTGCCTATCTCATGGGCACCCAACGGACACACACCTGCAAAGCCCAACCCGGAGTAAATCACAGGCCTCAACTGTGGAGCTGAAATTGCTGAGCTGAATTTTGCAGGTGACAAAAGTGACTTCCAGAGATCCATGGAATACCAAAACCCTGAGCCTGTTTTCCCTGTGGCCTCCACCTTTAGGATCTGTGTCTGCAGTGACCAAAGGGCTCTCCCTCTCTTTGGGGACCTTGTTTATTGTGCTCCGCAGTCATTCCTAATGTTGGTTTCCCTGTTAGAGGGAACAACCAGTGCTGAAAACAGGTTTGGGGAGGCCAGGCTACACAATCCTCTTCCACAGAGTGCTCCCAAAGTGTCTTTGCAGATCCTGTGTTACTCTGCTCTGCCACTAACTCAGATATATCTCCACTTCTGGCTGCAAGGAGCGGAGAGTCTGCAAGTATTGGTATTCAAGGTGTTACCTTGCTTTACCTCCTCTGAGGCCATAGAGTCTCCCACCTCAAAATCAGATATTACTCGTCTCTTGATGAACCTCAAGTAGAGCTCACTGCGGGCATTCATCAGAGTGACTTCTGTTAAAATAGGGTCAAGTTCCCTGGAAGGAACACAGCAAGAATCAAGGCAGCAAGACTACAAAAGGAGAAGCACTAATTTAACTCAGTTAAGTAGTATGTTCTCTGTTCTCTTACTATGAGATCAATACTGCCCCTTTGCATCTGTGCTGTCAAGTGGCAGAGCTCAGCAGAATGACAGGTACGTGCAAAGAATGCACATACAGTCAAAATATCCTGAAAAAATCATTACAGAGAAGCTTCTTTTTTCTTCATGGGTTGAGAACAACCACATTAAAATCACAGCAGTAAGGACTGCAAGACTCTAAGCAACCTGATATAACTTCAAAATTAGCCCTGTTTTGAGTGGGAGGTTGGACTAGAGGCCTTCGGCAGTCCTTTCCTACCTCAGTTTTGCTATGATTCTGTGAGCCCTACACGGCCAGTGTCAGAAATGCCTGGTCCCTGCCATGTCCATAATATGTGCTTTTGTGCACAGATTCATGTGTTTCTCTGAAAATGATGAAGAATCTGTTTAAGCTCAACAACTCAGGAAACATGAGACCAAAAAAGCATGTGACAATGCAGAACACGGTGTTCAGATCGGTGATGACTATGAAAAAAAAGACTGTCACATCAGCAGCTTTGTCATCAGTGTGCACAAAAGAACTTTACAAATCCTGCTCAAAGCCTCACAACATGCAAGTGGGACAAGGAACCAGTATCTTTATTTTACAGATGAAAAAGCAAAAGGTCAGAAAACTCGGGATGCATGCGCAGTTACTCAGAGCAAATAGTAAGTGGATCTCTATATTAACGCTGAAATAATCAGTCATGCAGACTCACAGACAGATCTCACTTGAGACACGTAATTTTTTTTTTCAAGGCATGTTTAGAAGTTATGCAATGCCAAAAGGTCTGGGTGCACTTTCAAATGGCCTTACTTAAGGGCTATGCAAATACTTAAAAAGGAGGGAAATTGAAAGGAGGGAAATTGAAATATTCATTAGCAAGAAATGTTCCAGAGTTGCTGCAGCAGCAGTACAGATTAAATAACACCCAAAGATTTATTCCTGATTCTGTCACAAGTTATCTGCCCAGAGAGTTGCTCCATTTCATGAGCTCCGAGGACCATACTCTGACCACCAAAAGGTAGTGGGCACAGGCAATTAAAGTCTCAGTCCTTTGTGTGCAGTGATATTGCCAGCCCTCCAGCAATGTTTAGGGCCAAGGCTTAAAAGTAACGAGTAAGCAAAATAAAGCACCACCACAGAAGCTGCCTTTATAAAAGGGCAGTGAAGGGCACCTACCAATTGGATTTTATGCTTTAGTAGCCACAAAGCCTCTGGAAGACTGGGAGAGTTATCTAAATGCTAAGTAGTGTTAATAACAGCTGAAGAGTGGAAGGTTAGAGAGCAAAAGAAGGTTTTGTTTGTACCTTGGTTCAATCTTCTCTGCAGAAGAACTTCTCATCATGCTATTCTGAACTTGCTGGAACTACAATCACAAAAAAAGGGAGAGTCATCAAAGTCTTTGCTGATGACTTGGAGTTAACAGCCGCTTCTCCTGCTGTAGCCTAAGGAGGTGCTTAGTCAGGGGGGTGATAGGAATGCTTTGCAGGCAGCACTGCCAGCGAAGGGAACCGCATCAGTTCACCTCCTCCTCCAAGACAGAGCTCAGCCTGCCAGGAAGGGCGGTGGGATGGGAGCTCCAACAGAGGCAGCAAGGTATGTGATCATGAGACAGTTACAGCAGCCCTGCATCTAGCAGACAGAAGCAGGAACAAGACAGTGGGGAAGGTGTACTGAAAGCGCCCTACAGACCTGCAGAGCAAAGAATCCTGTGCCCTGGGTCCATTTAGCATGCTCCCAATGAATCCTTCTCTGCAACAGAAGGGATAGCTACAGGCTGGACCCCTCCAGCCATCAGTGCAAATAGGGAGTAAAGCAAGGTTTCTCTCAATACACAAGGTCAGACGTTGCCACCTCTATGGCAGCTGGAGCCCCACTGAGCTACATGGAGGCCGCAGCTGGCTGCGTCAGGCAGCATCACACCCCTCTTACCTGCCTGTGATAGTCCCTCTCTTTGATGAACTTGTCCACCACTTTCTCCACCTGCCGGTCGCACTCCACTTGCAGGTGCTTGATGAGGGTGTACAGCCTCCCTGGCCCGTAGTAGGTCTCCACAATGGGTTGGTGGGTCTCCACAATGCGAGCAATCCCTGCAGAGAGAGGGGAAGCACAAGAGAGAGACTCAAGCATGAGTTCCCAACCAGTCTGGACCCAGAGCAGAGCTACACAGGTCCACAGACAGGACCTAACAAGGGATCATTCTCTCCCCCGATAGGCAGTTTAGACTGTCCAGCCACTCTCTAGTGCCTCACTGGAGGCCTGCCATTACCACCCCTCATTCCATGGCATCTTTTCTCTGCATGACACATTCCATCTTCTCTGCTGTTTATTGCAAGGCTGCAGTGCAAATCTCCTGGAGCAGAAGCCATCTCTCTTCCTAACGAGAACTCCTGCCATGCGACGTGTGTCAGCTGCCCCCCTACCCAGCAAGATACAAGGTATGAAGCTTCCACGGGAGAAAGCTGCACGAGGTAAACCTGGCAGGGGACATAACTGCCATCCAAATCCAGCCTCAGCTTTCAGCATCTACCAGGTTACAGGAGAAGAGCAGTGCAATGAAAATCAGCCTAGGGAAAGCTCTGCTCTTATCTGTCAGGCAGATGCCCAAGAGAGCAAGTGTTAGTGAAGGCTGGACCTCCTTGGAGAAAAAGCTCATCTCCAAGGACATATCTATGCAAGATTGCTTTCTTCTCACAAATTCTCTACTCCAAGAGTTAGCAACGCTCCCCCTCTTTTGAGGCTACTGCCAGGAAAGTCTCGGCAGCTCTAAGGACCTTCAATAGCAGCAAGGATGTCAGACGGGGAGAGTGACTTGGCAGTGGTGCAGCCTGGAATTACAGCAGACTTAATAGAGAAGGCAGTTAATCACCATGGGATCACAATTACTGTCTTTGGCACCATTCCCACAGAGCATTTATATTCCCTTCTCTCCCTTCCCTCTCTGCTTTCAAACTCCTATGGTCCTCCTTGAAGATCCAGGCTTGGAGGCATCAACAGCTGCTCAGTCTTAAGGGATCCGATTAGTTTGTCTGGAGAGCTGCATGTCTGAAGAAACCTTCAGGGAATACCCATTTATTCTAAGGATGCAGAGAACAGGAAGAGCCTGATTCCTGGAGGAACCCAACAAATCCTTTGCAAATCCACTTTGTGCCTGCTCAAGCTGTACGTAGGAAAGCTTGCTTATTGTAATGTCCTCTCCTGGCTGGGAAAAACTTTATTAGTTGTGTCCCTGTCCCTCTAGCCTGACACTCCCATAGCTCAAAGGGGAAGGAAGCATTTTGTGATCTCCTGGAGCTAAAATTAAAAGCATTTAAATTGATGGACAATCTCATCATGGACTTTTTTCAATCCATCAGAAAAGAGGAAAGAAAGATTACCTTCGAAGAGAAGTGTCAGGGTGTCCGCAAAGATGACAGCAGCTCGGCGGTCACTCATGTCTGTCCCCATCACCAGCTGCAGGTTCTCTTCTGCTTTGTTGGCCACCTGCACGACAACAGGACTGGTCAGCTGGTAACACTCAAAGATATTCTTCGTCCCATAGGGTGGTCCTCTGTCCCCTGCCCTATAGAGCTTTTGCTGGCCTTCCCATTGCAGGAGCTACTGCTTTTGTTCCTCCTTTGAACACGGATTCTCTCCCCTCCTGTGGAAAACTCAAGGATCAAGGAGAGGCAGAAACTTGTTCTTCTCTTTCCAGGCTCCCTTGTATGAGCTTTAAGCAAGGACAAAGAGCAAGATACAGGAGAAGCCAGCCAGCCTGTGGGATCTGTATTCAGACACCAGAAAACCCATCCCAGGATGCAAAATGCAGGGAGAGAGATGAACTAAGGCCAGTGCTGGTTTCTAAGATTAATAAGCCAGAGCCAAGATCTCCTTCCACAACATCTGTTGACAGAGACTGGGTTTTGCTTTCCCCTAGGAGACCAGACAGGTCATGGTGTGTTTCACAGAACCTGTTACCTGCTTGCAGAGGTACTCCGAGAACTTGCTCAGCCCCTCCTCATGTAAGCGAAGCAGAGGAAAGATCTTGAAGAACCGTTCCACCTGGGGCAAATCTCCCTGCTTCATAGCTGTGTCAAATTTCTCTGTGACAATTGTCTTCAGGCGCTGTTCTGCTTCCTGCAGCAGCTTCAGGTTGGCATCAATTATGCCCCCTGATCAAAAGGACAGAAAAGAAAGGGAAAAGTGACAGCACAATGTTAGTATGGTATCAAGGGCTACTTTTTTCCCCAGGAGATCAACACTGTGCAGCCCTAGGGTGAGAAGGCAGAAGACACATTGGAATTCCCCTACAGGCAAAGAAAGATAGGTACATGTGTGAAGTACACAGAGCTAACGCTGTGGTCTTGCACGGAGGATGCGAACACATCAACCGGAACATTTCTTTTAGGGATCAGGCAATTTACTCCTTCGTTTCCAGTTGCTCTGCTTGGTAGCACACCGTAACACTGCAGCAGTTTTCCCTGACAGAGCCTTCTCCCGCACTTCTTTTGTCCTGCACGTTTTGTCCTTCACCTAGTCGGCACATGAAATGCCATTAAAGTCATGTGCCAGGAACTCTCCTTTCAATTAATGATAATTCAAACCTAATAACACTTCAAAAACGTTCATCTCTATGTTACTCTATAACATACTAAGATCTTTGGCTAGCATTAGATCTTCCATTTTGTCTATTGAGCTGAGTCTGTCTGCCATGGGAAATTGTGCAGCCTCTAGTTATCTACTGGAAAGGTGACTTATCAGCTTCTCCTCATGAACAGTACTTACCTTCCTTGCCCTGACGACTGAGCTCAATCACTGATTTGTCCAGAGACAGGTAGCGATGGATGTGAGCTGCTGCTTGTTCGTAATCTTCATTTCGCAGGGCTGTTTGAACTCCATCCATGCAGAACTTCAGGTCAAGGATGTCGTCAGCTCTCTGAATGGCCTGATAGAGCCGATTCTGCAAGAAAGGCAACCAGTAAGGCTTCCTGCTG